TGATTTGAAAAACAAAAGTCCGAAATATCTTGACATGTATATGCATTCTTGCGCTGGTTTTGATGATGAAATAATTCTCAATTTTTGTTTTGGTTACATAGGATGACAAAGTAATTTGTTATTGATATGAAAAAAATTACATCTAATTCCAATAGTCTGGATAATTTCTCTATGGTTTATACAATGCTAGGCTCTCAGTCGTATTGCATTCCAGTGCATATATGTGCAGTAACATGCTCAGTATTGCAAAATTTGAATTCTATCCCATGATGCATTGCATACATGTTTAGTAGTGTAAAATCTGAATTTCCTTCTCATAATCCATTGCATACATGTGCAGTAACATGTTCAGGAGTGTAAAATCTGAATTTCCTTCCCATAATCCATTGCATACATGTGCAGTAACATGTTCAGGAGTGTAAAATCTGAATTTCCTTCCCATAATCCATTGCATACATGTGCAGTAACATGTTCAGGAGTGTAAAATCTGAATTTCCTTCCCATAATCCATTGCATACATGTGCAGTAACATGTTCAGTAGTGCAAAACCATATTTGACTTTGGCTCACCAGTGCAAAATTTTGAATTAGGATTGAACTACCTTTTTAGTCATCAACCTTTCAATGCTTGTGGAAAAATTAAACATCGCATTTGACAGCATAGGGTGAACTAACAGAATCTGTTGTTCATCACATTTTTTGCTACAATAAAATTAAGTCGTCAAATAGATTTAAAGCGGATCGCGTGGACGGGTTTCATGTTCTCTGCACGTAATAAGCTCGGTTATTAAGCATCCTTTTTTGGGGATGCCCGGTGGCCGAGGGGAAGACGTGTAGTGGCGTGAAGGTAGGCGATTAGGTGCCGTACGCGAGCGCCGGTTCGAGTCATGCACGCAGTACTGTTTACTATAATTAGACATAGTATTTACCTTGCCGTTTATTCGGCGTTATTTGCTAGATTTAAAGTGGGGGAGTTGTCATCTGTGCATGTGTCAGATGGCCATAACATGTCATTGTTTACAAACAAGCGTCTACCCATGAGCCTTTGCATTTTTAGCATATGTTGTATGTCACTTGGGACTCAATTCCCGGCCTGCGAAGGTTGACGCCCCTCCTGCTTCAATTTGATGACAGAATTAGGCCGAATAATTACACATCTAAGAAAAAAAAGTTTGCTTGGGCACAGATGGATAGATAAATAAATAAATACAGTACTTACCTGTACATGGTTGAGTGTTGCATGCTTGCATTGTATCTGGTTTATCAAGGGTCTGACAGAATACTTCACTACTGGTTGGTTGGTTATTATTAATATCTACACAAGTAACAGGACGTGTCATGACGCCACTACCACATGGTTTGGAACACTAGATAAACAATATTGTAC